GTCAAGATGATAGTATAGGTAGAAACACTTAACTTCCTCACACACCAAAAGAAGGATAACAACCAATTTAAAAAGAGAAAACCAGGGAAATGCCAGAAAATCGAACTGTATGGAAGTCTGACAACCAAGGAGTTGAAACATTCATCCAGACTGGATGGAGGGGTGAAGGCAGGAAGCCAGGGCAGTGAGGTCTCTCAAGGCAGTAACTGGCAAAGGGGGATGGGAGAGGCGGTGGCTGGAAGACTGGGAAATCCCATATTCATGTGCAAATAAGCTGGGAGGAACAATTGGGGAGCGAGTCAGACCATGCAACCCAGGGTTCCAGCACAGGAAAAGAAAGCCTCAGAGCCTCTGGCTATAAAAACCTGCAAGGGTTTCAGCAGGGGGAGAAGCTCCCAGTCTCACAGGAGAGTCCTTTGGAGGGACCAACAGGATCCCAGAATGAACACAAGCCCATTCACCCAGGAATCAGCACCTGAAAGGGCACAATCCACTTGTGGGAAGTGAGAGAAGTGACTAAAAGTGGGGCAAGAGCCAAGCAAGAGGCATAGTTCCCTCTCTGACCCCTCCCCCTTATACAGTGCCATAATGTAGTGAAGTGGGTTGCCCCAACCTGGTGAATACCTATGGGCCCACCCCTTACAATGTAACAGGTATGCCAAGAGAAAGAAATATGGCCCAAATGAAAGACTAGATCAAAACTCCTGAAAAAGAACAAAGTGATGAGATAGGCAACCTATCAGATGCAGAGTTCAAACCACTAGTAATCAGCATGCTCACAGAAATGATTGATTTTGGTCACAAAGCAGAGGAAGACATGAAGGCTCTACAAAATGAAATAAAGAAAAATATACAGGGAACCAACAGTGAAGGGAAGAAAATCGGGACTCAAATTAAAGGTTTGGAACAGAAGGAAGAAAACATTCAACCAGAGTAGAATGAAGAAACAAGAACTCAAGAAAATAAGGATAGGCTTAGGAAGCTCTGGGACATTTAAACATTCTAACATCCAAATCAGAGGGGTGCCAGAAGGAGAAGAGGAAGAGCAAGAAGTTGAAACTTTCTTTGAAAAATAAGAAGATGGAAAACTTCACCAATCTGGCAAAGGAACTAGACATGCAAGTCCATGAAGCTCAGAGAGTCCCAAAGAAGTTGGATCCAAGGAGAAACACACCAACACACATCATAATCGAATTACCCAAGATTAAAGATAAGGAGAAAATCTTAAAAGCAAGAAGAGAAAGGGAGAGGGTTAGCTACAAAGGAGTTCCCATAAGACTACCAGCTGATTACAGGCAAGAAGGCTCTGGAAGAAGTATTCAAAGTCATGAAAAGGAAGGACCTGAAACCTAGATTACTCTATCCAGCAAAGCTATCATTTGGAATGGAAGGGCAGATTAAGTGCTCCCCAGATAAGGTAAAGTTAAAGGAGTTCAGCATCACCAAACCCTTATTATATGAAGTGTTAAATGGACTTATTGATGAAAAAGAAGATCAAAACTATGAACAGTAAAATAACAAACTCACAACTATCAACAACTGAACCTAAAAAGAAAAAGAAACTAAGCAAACAACGAGAACAGGAACAGAATCACAGAAATGGAGATCACATGGAGGGTTATCAGCAGGGAGGGGGTGGGAGAGGATGGGGGAAAAATGTACAGGGAATAAGAAGCTTAATTGGTGGGCACAAAATAGACAGGGGGAAGTTAGAATAGTTTAGGAAATGGAGAAGCCAAAGAACTTATGTATGACCTATGGGCATGAACTAAGGCAGGTGGGGAATGCTGGAGGGAGGTGAGGTGCAGGGCAGAGACAGATAAAGGGGAGAAAAAAGGGACAACTGTAATAGCATAATCAATAAGATATACTTAAAATTTTTTTAAATGAAAAAACAATGTCAAAAAATTGTTTTTCTCAATAACAATTCTTTAAAAACTTTCTGGGGCATCATTTATTGTTTTCTAAGTATATGACATCTATCTGGGAATATGACTAAACAGCCAATTTACATTTGTTGACATCCAAGAAAGTGTGGAAAATGGGAATCTGAACCTGAGAAAAAGGTTTTGGATTGAGAGAACTAATCTTGTCAGGTAATAATGCCAAATTCACCTGTTTTTATCACATGACTTTTTTAATGGAGTTTTTCAGCTGTGGTCTATTTCAACCTTCTAAGAAAGTGACATGTATCTGGGAATACTGGTTATGTACCAATTTTATATTTGCTGCCAGAATGGGTGTGATATTAGCATCCATGACTGTGTGAAAAGTGGGTACCTGAACCTGAAGTAAATTTTGAATTTGAGATGATACCACCTATCTTAGACATATGATCATTTCAGCTGAAAATGCATTGAGAGTATCTGCATGGGGACTGCAGATAATTTCTGGAAGAGAATTATATCAAACAAGAGAAAGGTAATACTGTTGATTAATGGAGTTATACGATGAGAATTACCTATATAGCTAGAGGAGAAAAGGCTTTATCAAGCCTGAAAACAGGTAAGACACCATGGGCGGTAAATAAAGGACGCTGATTTCTAAGAGAGATTTAACTTGAGCAATGACTCTGCGGGAAACTTGTCTACATGAAATAGTTATTTCTACAAAGTGTGAGTCCTTTAGATTCATGAGAACGTGAGGAAAAAATAGTGGACTAAGACTGCACATTGTTAGCAGAAAAATTAAGAAGAGTCGAAGAAAACATGGTATTATGTTTAATTTGTTCAACAATCATTTAGTAATTATTATATTTCATCTGATTAAGAAGCTTTTCTAGCCCTGGCTGGTGTTGCCTAAGTGGACTGAACGCGGGCCTGCAAACCAACCAAAGGGTCGCTAGTTTGGTTCCCAGTCTAGGGCACATGCCTGGGTTGCAGGCCGGTTCCCCAGTAGTGGGCGCCAGAGAGGCAACCACACGTTGATGTTTCTCATCCTTTCTCCCTCCTTTCCCCTCTCTAAAAATTAAAAAAAAAAAAAGAAAAGAAAATTAAAGAAAGGAAGAAAGAAAAGTTCTTCTAGTTGTGGGTTACATATCAATGAATAAGTAAATGTGTTTGCAACCTGGCTTCTTCAAAGCCTTTCTTGAAGGCTAGCCAAGAAGTCAAAAAGAAAATATTTTGTGTTACAGTAAATTTTAAGGTGATAAGTGCTGTTGAAACCTGAAAAGAGCAGCACACCAAAATGACAAGTATGTGGATCCTGAGTATTTTAAGAGCTCTCATTAAAAGCAGGGAGAAGGATTTGATTAGATCAGATTGCTGATTCATGGACAAAAACATAGTACAATTTTCCCATGTTTGTAACTTGGCTAGAGTGCCAGACCATTTCTATAACCATTGTGCCAGTTGCAGGGTGCTGGAAATACTGTATCTTTTTATTTTTTGAAAAGTGATTTTTAAATAATATCTGGTAAGTTTTCAGATTTTTTCAACTCCTCTCTTATGTTACTTAGTTTTCATGTGTTTCAAGTCTTGCGTTACGTTTTAGTGTGATGGTTGCTCTAAATTTTTAAATAAGATGGGCTTCTTATTGTTGAGTTTTTTATATTATTGCTCATACATATGCCCGTATTTTTGTTAATTCTAACATTTTATATGCTTTTTAAGTTTCTGAGGTATACATAGGTTAAGCATGAATATGTATTTTATTTGCTCTAAATATAACTTATAAATACGTTCTTTATCTTATTCCATTAGGAATGCAAGAAACACGTCACCTCTTAAATATGTCTGGAGAGTACAAAAATCTCTTTCCTTATAATTACAATATAATTTTTGAAATTAAAATAACACGAATAGCTTTATCAAAACTCAATTTTTCCAGTTTTTCAAAAAAAAATTTCTTAATATTTATAACTAAATAACTGACTTCCACTTAAGTATTTTTAACATTAAAAAGTTTGTCTTTCTTGAGTTATCTCTGACATATATGTGATGCTGTAAACAGCTCATTTCTCTGACAAAATTTTCCAGACCCTGTAATGCAAAAGAACCTCTTTTTATTATGATGAGCTGTGTGGAGTTGCAGAGATATTGAACGTTCATCATCCTGCACGCGAGACCCTTCACCAGAAATAGATGACATCTTTCTTATAGCATTTTCGAGATCTCCTTTGGACCAGGACGTGTTAGGTCTCAGTAGCTTTCTGGGTGAGTGTGGGTCTTCTCTCTCGGAATCATGTGGGAAAACCCCCTTTTCACCTCAAAGGCCTCTAGGAACCGCCGTACCCAGAAGGCTGTTCAGGTCTCAGCCAATAAGGCTCAGAAAAGGCCTCTCCGTGGGAGCGAAACGCATGTGGGCGGGACTTCCGTCGCGCTGCTGGCGGGCATTTTGTCTTCCCTCAGGATCACCTAAGCGGTCGGGGGGAGGTGAGCGCTGGACCGCCGTGGAGGTGCACGTGGCAAGGAACCGGAGAGACCTGGTCGCTGTGTTACAAACGTGATTGTGAGGCTCCGTGACTCCGCCCCGCTGACCCGCGCCTGGTCCGGGATGGGGACCGCGGTGCCCTGCGCTAACACCTCGCCTGCCACTCCTGCCCCACTGCGCCCACAGAGCGCGGCGTCGGTGGATTCGCTGAGGCGCCCGGCTGAGGTGAGTGCGCGGCCCCGGGCCCTCCCTCCTCAGCCCACCGCGCCCTGCGTGTGCGGGGCGCCCGTCACGTCCGGCAGCCCCGGCCCCGGCGTCTGGGATGTGAGGCGCTCGTGGGTGACAAAAGCTCTTGGGGATGGGAAAGGGCATCGGGCTGAGGTGCCGCCGTCTAACGACGCTCAGGGGACGCTGACTCTGAAGGACCCGCAGACTGGGGTCGGCCTTCCATCTGCTTTGGTCTGAGGCGGAGTCATGTCCTGAGTCGGGGGAGGCAGAGGGGCTGCGCCTTCATTCTGAGGGTCGTGAGAGCCGGGGAAGGTTGTGAACGAAGAGGGGACACAGGCTGTGACTTGGTTTTCAAAGCTTTTTACATCCTGCTGAGGGAGGAAACTGACTGAAGTCTGGGGATGAGGATAGTGAGGCATATGAAGAGGAGCCCTCGTCCAAGGTCACAGGGCCGGGGAGAGGCTGCACTAAGGGGACACTTGGCCGGAGGTCGCCAGACCCCAGGGCTGGGATGGAATGCGGTGAAACCTGCTTACCAGGAGCTGAAGGTGGTTGACTGCTTCTTCCCACAGGTTCTAAAGTTGAAACCCTTTATGTAAACTAGACAAGGAAAGCCTGAGTGTCCCACTGCCTCCCTGGTAATGACACTACCTTATAGTGTCTAAGGACTGTTCCCTTGATAGTTTCCCAGCCCTGGGGATGTGGGGACCCTGGGGATACCCCAATTCTGAGTGCAGATCGTAGGTAATATCAAGGTGCTCCCAATTCTGGTGTCAATGTAAAAAACATTCAAATCTTTAGAGACTTTTTTTTTTTTAATGTTTATTTCAGCCAAACTGACAGTGGTTGTCAGGAAAGAAAAATCTCAACAGAGTGAATAAATGCTTCGGAGAATGGCATATTTACCACTTCTTTTACACATCAGGATCAAAAGGGAAAACATAAGTGGGGAACTTGAAATCCATTGGTGATAGGTTAGACAGGCAGAAGAAAACAAGGAAACTCTCTAGTATTCAATAAAAAGTAAAAATGTTCATTTACATTGGTTGGTGTAAGACAGTTAATATTTAATTAACAATAACAGTGAGTGTTGTGTTTTGATTTTTTGTCTCTTATTTGGTGCAGTGTTTGTGCCCTGAGGGGTAAGAAAAAAGGAAATTAATCCTGTCATTCCAAAGGAATATTAACATAGGTGCAAAAATACAAAGATGGGCTCAGTTAAGGTAAAAATTGACCTTCTTCAGGGAAGATACAGACCTAGACATGACTACTTACTGTGTCTTGCTTTTAGTTAGAAAGTTTTAATTTCAGAGCATATGTAGGGGTATTTTTGGTCTCTCACTTTATAAGGGCATCATGGAGGACTTTCATAAACTGGTCAAGTTTAGTTTGGGCCCTCCCCTCTTTTTTTTTTTTTTTTAAGATTTTTATTCATTTCTAGAGAGAAGGGAAAGGAAGGAGAAAGAGAGGGAGCAATACATCAATGTGTGGTTCCCTGTCATGCATCTCCTACCAGGGACCTGGCCCATAACCTAGGCATGCACCCTGACTGGGAATCGAACCGGCAACCCTTTGGTTCGCAGGCTGGTGGTCAATCCACTGAGCCACACCAGTCAGGGCAGTGCCCACCCTTTTTTTTGTCCCAGTCCACATAGGCAGCCAGTGTAAATGTTAAGGCAGGTTGTCTGGGAAGAGACACCTGCACCTGCAAATACTTGAAGATGCCACAGAACCGGGAATAGGTACTCAGGTCTCCTTTGTGTGTGTTAAAATAAAGGAACTGCCCTGGCTGATGTGGCTCAGTGGGTTGGGTGTCATCCCACAAAGTGAAAGGTCTCTGGTTCAATTCCTAGTAAGGGCACGTGCCTGGTTTGCAGGCCAGGTCCTAGATTAGGGGTGTGCAAGAGACAACCAATAGGTGTTTCACACATTGATGTTTCTCTCCCTCTCTTTCTTCATCCCTTCTCCTCTCACTAAAAATAAACAAAATCTTTTTTAATAAGTTTTTTTAAAGTTTTCCTGACAACAAGGAGCAAGGGGGACAAGAATCAGACTTGTAAATGGCCAAATAATAATTTGGGTACCTACTATGGAGATATTAGGGTATTTGCTTAAGAGAAAGGAGTTGGTGTGTCCTGGGTTTAACAGGCTCCATCTGGCTGCGTAGTAGAAAACAGATTTATGGGCATTAATAGAGGAGGCAAGGAGTGCTGGCTTAGGTGAGTTCTATGATCCAGAGGAGAGCTGATAGAACGGAGTTGGGCTTCAGAGGTAGGAGAAAAGGTTGGATTCTTGGTCCATCTTTTATTTTTTTTATTGTATTTTTTTCCATTACAAATTTTCCCCCTCATACCCTCTTCCACCTCCATCTACCCACTCCCCCTGCCATTTTTTTTAAGAATGGCAAGTAGTTTCAGATTTTGCAGCTGCAGGAAAGAAAGGAAAGGGTTCAAAACCACCCCAGTGTTTTTGGTCCTAGCAGCTGAAGCAGTGGAGGCTCCATGAACTGGGCTGGGGAAGATGGCAGTAGGTTAATTCTCACTGGGAATATGAGAAGGTTGTTTGGGTTCATACTTTTAAAAGTTTCAAAGAGCAGTGAGTGGAAACATCTAGCTAGCAGCTGAATACATGGGTCTGGAAATCTGCGAAAGGGTCAAGGTAGGAGTAAAGCAAAACTGGTGGCTGTTTTGTGTTATGGCAAAGGTGGTAGAGCTGAGGGTGTAACCTGGGTGTGTGGATGTGAAGGAGGTAAAGATCACACAGTGGTGTGCACGGCTAGAGGAAGTGTGACCTCATGGTCCTGGTGTAGGGACTTAAGGGTGAAGCATAAGACCATGTTTGACTGTGTCTTGTAGACATGATCTGGGAGACTCAGTGGAATTGCTTGACTGATAGGATCGGGCCCTGCAGGCACGGCCCCAAGTTGAGATGGCACTTACCTGCCCCACTTTCTCTTATCCTACCTGACTTTGCTGAGAGCAAGGTGAATGATTAATGAGACTATGGTGAGACGGTAGGCATCCCTGGCACCAAGCACTGGTGTGTTTTCCCAACTAAGGGCTCTGCAGGGGTTTGAGTGTGGGGAAGAGTAGGATTGCAAGGTCTCAGACACATTTTTCTGGATTATTTGTGTTAATTCTGACAGGTTGCTGTGACCTTTGAGGATGTTGCCGTGTATTTCTCCAGGACAGAATGGCACCTCCTTGATGAGGCTCAGAAAATCCTGTACCTCGATGTGATGCTGGAGAACTATGCTCTTGTATCATCACTGGGTAAGATACTCACTCTCCCCACCTGCTCTTCTTTGGCTTGCCTGTGCCCCTCTTTCCTCAGAGCTGCAGTTTGCTTCTTCTGTTCTGAGCTCTAAGGGTCCTGACCAGGCTTGTACCCAGGAAGGAATGGACAACAGCAGCTGGTCTTGGGCTTGTTGCAGGAGATTCAGTTCTTTCTGACAGAGTAAAGAATTATACAGATTAGCAGTCTACTGGCATGCAAGCAGAATTTATTAGTAATAAGTTCTCATTGGAAGAAAGTGGGTCTTGCTGCCCTGGCTAGCGTGGCTCAGTGGATTGAGCACTGGCCTGCAAACCAGAGGGTTGCCAGTTTGATTCCCAATTAGGGCACATGCCTGGGTTGCTAGCCAGGTCCCCAGTAGGGGGTGCATGAGAGGCAACCACACATTGATGTTTCCTTCCCTCTCTTTCGCCCCCTCTTCGTCTCTGTCTAAAAATAAAAAAAATCTTTTTTTAAAAAATGGGTCTTGCTGAGTTAGGGCTAAAGAGCATAGGTGCAGGGCAGGGCAAGGTAAGGGCGGCAAGAGGAAGGGCAGCTAAAAGCATCAGGTCCTTTGTCCTGAGGATTTACATAGTCAGCAGGATGGGGGTAGGAGAGTTACATATTGATTGATGGGTAAAGGTGGTGCCAGCTTCCTCTTTGGGGGGACGTGACTACCCAAAATTATATACATATTGGGGGGTTGTTAGTTTGAATTCTTACCTTGCTCCAGACCACATTTGGTCATCTTGTTGTAAATGATATGTGACAGGAGGCAGTTAATTAAAGTCAAGGAAGTTACCCAAAGTTATTTATGGGCTCTTTCTGTAAGCACTAGGTACCCCCTCATAAAACAGATAGTGATCAGAGGCAGGGAATTAACCAAAGCTGTTTTATGAACCTTGTCTTCGGGCACTGTGGACCCCCTCCCACCTTCCTTCAGGCCCTGGGATGAAAGCGCAGTTTCAAAGGTTTTCTTTCCCAGATAGTGGAAACAATACATAGAATTTCAAGGACTGCCCCCTCCCATGCTAACATTATGTTTTTTGTGATGTTCAGAACACCCGGCAATATTATTGGACCGGGCTCAGGACTGCGGAGGTAGTGGGTGAGACATTTTCCCTCCTCCTCCCTGCCTTTTTTGTCTGTCCTGCCTGACAGGCTCACCATTGATGCTGTCTCCAGGGGTCCTCCTTTTTGCTTCATTGCCCCAAACTTTAATAAACTAACTCACATTTTCAAAAACAAATGAAAATCCTCACTCTCCCAGTGACCTTGACTAGGGTTTATATATCCCCATGTCCTTGTTCCCAGGGTGCCGTCTGTCCTCACATCTGGTTTGTGCACACTGTTTGCTTTTCTAGACTTCTGGGTAGATCCTGGACTTGGCAGGGCTAGTTTGCTTGCAAACTTCTCTCCCTGCTGCCCTGATACCTGCTGTACTGATACCTGCTGTACTGAACCCTCATAGGGAAGGATTCGACATCAGTAGTGTTGCCAGAATCTTAATGGATTTCTCCCTGATTAGTGAAAAAAAGCATTTTTTTATATTCCTGTTGCTCATTTCTATAACTATATATATTTTACCCTCACTGGAAAATATTATTATTGATTGTTAAAAGAAGGGAGGGAGAGGTAGAAACATCAATGTGAGAAACAAGCGGGGATAGGTTGCCTTCTGTACATGTCTTTTTAGGGGTTCAAACCCACAACCTTTTTGTGCACAGGCCAGTGCTCTAACTAACAGAGCCACTTGGCTAGGGCTGGATCAAATATTATGCATATATTTATGAGTTCTGTTTTCTCAGTAGTGTTTTCAAACTTCAGTAATTCCTTATTGCTTTCCAATAGCATGATATACTCATTGTTGAAAGGGGAATATTTAAGTTGTCTGTACTGTTTCTTTGCATTTTCTGCCTTCGGATCTCATGTTGTTTGCCTAATGTGCTTAGGTGCTCTGTGGTTGGGTGCATAGTAATTATAGTTGTTATCCTCCTGCTCTCTTTGGTGTCATTTGCATGGAATATTTTATATCTCTTTATTTTCAGTGTGGTTGTGTCCATAAAGATTTAGTGAGTCCCTTGGAAGCAGCATATATTGTGTCTTGTGGGGACTTTTTTTATTTTTTATTTATTGGAATACAAGGGAAGCCAGCCAGGCATTTATGTATGTATTCATTCATTCATTCATTCATTTATTTCTAGAAACTACTTTATTTCCAAATACAGTGGACATACAGTATTATATTAGTTTCATGATTGGACATTGTGTAACTTACTATGTAATCATCTCCATAAATCTCACACCCATCGAACACCATACATAATTAGTGGAGTGTTATTTTTTTAAAAGATTTTATTTTTTTTTAGAGAGGGGAAGGGAGGGAGAAAGAGGGGTAGAGAAATATCACATGTGTGGTTGCCTCTTGCACGCCCCCTACTGGAGACCTGCCTTTCCTATCTAGTTTCTATCCCTGGCGTGTGCCCTTACCATGGCCATCAAACCAGCAACCCTTTGGTTCGCAGCAGGCACTTAATCCACTGAGTCACACCAGCCAAGGTGTAGAGTGTTATTGACCATATTCCCTGTTAGGGTTTTAGGTAACTCAGGCTGTGAAACTATTCACAAAGAGAAGAAAAAGTAAAGTTCTTATTCATTCACTGAGAAAGAAGAGAGGCAAGTTGTAGAGAGGTGCATCAGTACTCAGGGGTGGGGACTTTGAGCTTTTATTGGATTATACTTGGATTAAAAAAGGTTGGGGCTTCCTGTTGTGTGCCCCTGGGCTGTTGAGGCTGCAGTTTGTTCCAGTGTTATTTTCTGCCTATGGTGGTAGGGAGTGGTTAGTCACTTTCTGTTCTTGCTTTTCAGTAATTTCCAGTCCTGGGGGCTTATGCTCAGAAGGGTAAAATGGCAGTCATGTTTAACAATGTCGTAGGCCTGCTCCACAAATGGCACCACGATAGGAAAGAGTGCAGATTTTATCTTTTCATTTCTTCTGCTTTACTTTACATCCCCATGATTATTCAGTGACTGCCAATTTATACTTTTTTTAAAAAAGATTTTATTTATTTTTAGACAGAGGGGAAGGGAGGGAGAAAGAGAGGGAGAGACACGTTAATGTATGGTTGCCTACTGGGGACCTGGCCTGCAACCCAGGCATGTGCACTGACTGGGAATCGAACCACCGACCCTTTGGTTTGCAAACCAGTACTCAATCCATTGAGCCACGCCAGCCAGGGCTCAATATGTACTTTTTAATCCCTTCACCTTTTTCACCCATCATGAGAACTTTTTAGGCATTTATTTGAGTCAAACTGGTGACAATGGCCAGAAAGCAAGATCTCCAGTGCTTTTGTGTCTTGTGTTTTTTTTTTATCCCTTTAGCCACTCTACATCTTTTGATTGGAGAATTTCTTGAAGAACCAACCTTATCATCTTGTCATTGTTTTCTGTCTATTTTGTAGTTCCTTTTTTCTCTTCCTATCTTGCTGACTTTTTTTGTGATTTCATCCTTTTCTCTAGTGGTAATGCTTTCATTCCTTCTTCTTTTGTGTATGCATTTCCCAGGATTGTGCTTGTGGTTTCCTTTAGACTCTAGAAAGCAGCTCATACTCTCAACAGTTTATTGTAACCTGAAAACAGCTTCACTTGCATGCAAAAACTCTGCCACACCACCCCTTTATACATTTTATGTCGCAATTCACATCTTTATATATTATGTCTCTATTCACAAATTATTGTCACCATTGTTATTCTTAATACACTTTATTTTTATTCTATATAATAGAGGTAAATAACATATACTTCACCAGTGAACTCAGTATTGTGAACTTGACAAACCCGGCTTTACCAAAGGGTTGTACAATTTGGTATGTTTCCTCTTTCTATGTAATATGCCTTTATTTCAGCTGAAAGATTTCTTTCTCTTCCTTCCTTCCCTTCCTTCCTTCCTTCCTTCCTTCCTTCCTTCCTTCCCTCCCTCCCTCCCTTTTCTTATTTCTGAGAAAGAGGTTTTTTCAGTTAAGTATTGTGGTTTGCGGATGTTTTCTTTTAGTGTTTTGAATATATGATTTGATATTCTCTGAGTCTGCAAAGTTTCTTCAGAGAACTCTATTGCTGGCCTTATGGCAGTGTTGTCCTTACATGAGGAGTTTCTGTTCTCTTTGGTCTTTCCATTTTTGTTGTGCTTTTGATTTTTGATATTTTTATTATAGTGTGTCTTGCTGAAGTCCTGTTGGCATTGAATCTGTACAGGGACCTGGGAGGATCTTGTACAGATTCACTTTCTTTTTCATATTCTGAAGTCAATCTTTAGCTCATTTTTTAAAATAAATTTTTACATTTCTCTTCCCCCTCCCTTTTATCTGTCTCTCATTTTCTCTTTTTCACCTCTTCTGGGACTTCCATAATACAAATTCAGGTTATCTCTATGGTGTTCCAAAATTCACATAGGTTGTCTTCACTTTTTATTCTTTTGCATGGATGATTTTAAATCACCTGCCTCTGAGGTCACATATTCATTTTACTACTTGATTTTGTCTGTTCTTGAAACTCTTGCATTTTCTCATTTTATTCACTACTTGATTTTGTCTGTTCTTGAAACTCTTGCATTTTCTCATTTTATTCATCATATTCTTCAACTCCCAAACTTCTGTTTCATTCTTTTGTATGATTTCTGTATTTCTGAACCCCATGTTTTGTTCCCATATTTGTTTGCTCATTATGTTGAGTTCCATGTGTTTTTGCTTTTACCTCACTGAAGTTTTTAAAAATGATTATTTGAATTATATTTCTGGTAATATATACACCTCCATTTTTTGGTTTAATTCACATTAAAATTGATGTTCCTTATGTGATTTTATTTGATATTTCCCTTTGTCTTAGTGTTCATGTCCTACATTCAATTAAACAATTACTTTTTTGGGCTAATAGGACCAATTATGTTTAGAGGGGTAGTTTTATCAGCATGTGCATACAAGAGTGTTTGCTAGGTGGTGTGTTGTGTTTTGGGCTGATGACAAGCTGTACTTCCCATTCTTCTTGCTAACCCATGAGCCAGGTCAGCATAGTGAAGATTGAAGGGGTCCTCAGTGCCCAGGGCTTCAGCTTTTCAAATATTTAGCAGTCTCTTTAGAAATCATTGGTGGCACAAAACATGGCACTAAAGTTAGTGGTAGCACAAGCACAGTGGCTCCAAAGTTCTTAATCTTTGTGTTTAGAATCTAACCATGTTTGCTAAGCCAGTCTTTCCTGCTATTCCTTTACATAGCTCTTGATATTATGCTCCACTTTGAAGCCCTTGGGGAGAGGCTTAAGATACCCCTTTCCTGAAGGGATGCAGTTTATCATGGATAATTGCCTAGTTATTCTAGAAGAGGGTTGAATATTTGTGTTTTTTATTCTGCTGTCTTGCTATAGTCACTCACATAAATCTTTTCCTTTTGGTTTGTACAGAGTTGTTCTATGACACTGTTGGTTATTCATCTCTTCTGCTTTCTCTTTGGAGTTGCGTCATCAATATTCCACATAATTGCTCAATGAGGAGTGACCTGGAAGAGTCATTTGTGTATCACAAGAGGGACAGAGTTCAGCCATGACAGATTGGGCTCACAGGGGGTCTGGCACTGGGGGAGAATTTGATTCCAAGGCTTTGTTAAAGCATAATGAGGACCCTGTTCTCTTTAACTATATTTGTCACCATTGCCAGTGACCACACCCTAATCTACTTGTCCTTTCCCAGTGTTGGCACATTGCCAGTTTGTTTCTTTTAATAGTTTTCCTTTCTATCCTGACTTCCAGCCATGGATAATCTCTGCCTCTCTAACCTCTACACCACAGCCATTTCTCAGAGGAGTCTCTTTGATGTGCTCTCCAATTTTGATCAATGCCTGTTGCACCTTGAAGTGTGCACATATTTCTCTACAAACCTTGGACAGCATCTAGTCTGCTGTGATTGATTTTCGTGGTTTTGCGCACATTCATAGTCCTATACACAACCTTACATCACAAGCAGGAAGGGTTTTGCAAGTAGCCGTTAACAGTGGAACAGTTTGTAAACCCCGCCTCACTATTCCTGTGTCAGTCGTGTCCTAGTGTCCTTCGAGTAATGAGGTGTCTATGATTACTGACCAGAGGGGCTTCATCAGAGACTGTCTCACTTGCCTTAAAAATCATCACGTTGAATCACGCCACATGTTACAGATGCAAATTTGTGATGAGAAAACCCATTCCCTACAGGTCAGTTTGTACTTCACTAGCATTTGTTTTTGTTTAGGTTGCTGCTGTGGACCACAGAATGTGGAGGCACCCGCTGAACAGAATCTTCCTCAAAGAGTCTTAAAGTCTAAGTATCTTAAGTCAGAACTCCCTTCCCGGAAGAGCCACCCCTGTGAGAGTTGTGCGTACGCCTTGAGAGACATTTTCCTCTTGGTCGACCAGCAGGGAACACAACAAAGGCCAGCACTGCTAAGGTGTGGGGCATGCGCAAAACCATTTTACTTCAGTGCAAAGAGTCACCAGCACCAGGAGCAGGACACAACAAAGAATTTTTTTATGAGCAGTGTAGACAGGGTTTCACTTGCAAAGAGCTGCAATTTCCATGTGTCATGGAAGCCTTGTATGTGTAGTCAAGTTGGAAAACGCTTCTCCTTTAGCTCAGGACATCTTGAAAAACTGGCTACACCCACCATGTACAGGGCAAACAAAATCTCTAAGACTGGAATGGCTTCTCATAGTAGAAAATATCATTATACCCAAAGAAAATGTAAGAAAGCCACTGACTTTAATAACGCATTTGTTGAAGACCAGAGCTTTCTTACAGGAAGACAATGTGTGTGTTGTGAATGTGGAAAATATTTTACCAGAATCTCTGCCCTCCGTGTTCATCAAAGAGTTCACACTGGAGAAAGGCCTTATGAGTGCAGTGATTGTGGGAAATCTTTTACCACTAGCTCGCTTCTACATTATCATCAGAGAGTTCATACTGGAGAAAAGCCTTATGAGTGTGGTGAATGTGGGAAATCTTTTTCCTGGAGCTCTTCCCTCCAATGTCATCAGAGAGTTCATACTGGAGAAAGACCTTATGAGTGCGGTAAATGTGGGAAATCTTTTAAGAGAAGCTCTAACCTTCGTGTTCATCAGAGAGTTCACACTGGAGAAAGGCCTTATGAGTGCAATGAATGTGGGAAGTCTCATACCAGTAGCTCTAACCTCCGTAGACATCAGAGAGTTCACACTGGAGAAAGGCCGTATGAGTGTGATGAATGTGAAAAATCTTATACTAGTAGCTCTGCCCTCCGTAGACATAACAGAGTTCACAGTGGAGAGTGAGGTGTATGTGGGAAATCTTTCATTATTATCTGTGCTCTTCATTTTCAGCAGAGAGTTCACACTGGCAAAAGACCTTATGAGTATTGTGTATATGGGAAATCTTTTGCCTCTGGCTTACAACTTCATTGTCATGTGAGAGAGTTCACCGTGAAGAGAGACCTTATGCATGCAGTTAATGTTCCTTTGTTATCACTGACCTGTTCACATTGGATAAAGGCTTTTCGAGGACAGGGAATGTAGGAAATTCTTTCTGTAGCGGTCACCTCCATTGTCATCAGAGTTCTTGTTAGGAAATAGCCTTAAGTGTCTAGTGAAAGTGGGAAGTCTTTTTCTTATATCAGTAATTTCCATTATTATGACAGAGCTTACACTGCAGAAATGCCATTTTGAGTGCTGTGAATATAGGGAATCTTCTACCAGTAGCCATGACCTTTGTTGTCATCAGAAAATTCACAATGACTCAGTTCTTATAAGAAAATTTGGGACATTTTTTATTTCTAGCCATTTTCTTTACTCTTAGGTCACACAGGCTATAGGTTTTATACATACATGCTATATGAGAAGTGTTTTTGTAGCACTAAGCTCATTATATTCAGAGATTTCACTCTAGGTAAAGGCCTTAAGAGTACAGTGACTGTGGGAAATGCTTTTTCTATCATTTTCCCTCTCTTATCATCAGAGAGTTTATACAGGGTTAGGCCTTATGGGGGCATGAAATGTGGGAAATCTTTTACCTCTTAGTCATGGCCACCTTAATCACAGTTCACTGGTTAAAGGCTTCAAGTGCGATGTGAACACAGGAGATCTTGGCCATAAATCTGTCACTTTTGACATTGGAGAGTTCTCACAGTGTAAATGGTTAGAGTTTAGAAAATGTATTATTTTTTCTAAGTAATGACACTGAAGAAAACTTTCTGAGGAAACATCTGAGTTTAATTTTATGTTCACAGTATGGACATGCCTGAGATACTTAATGTTTAAATTTTGAAGAACCTAACAATGTATGATCTAAACTAATAGTGCCATTATGCATTCTTACTCATAGCGCATGTGGGTTGCATTTCCCCACTCTTAACAAATGTTGATTTGTTCAATTTTTACCTCTTTTCATATGTTCGTCATGCTCTCTCTGTTGTTTTAGTTGCATTTCCCCAAGGATTTAGGATGAGCATTTTTGCAGTTGTGTATGTACTACTGATATATTTTTAGTAAAATGTGCACTCACATCATTACCTATTCTTTTTTTACTTTGGGTTACTCTCTTTTAACAAATATGAGAGGAAAACAGCAAAAACATATGTTGCAATGTCACCCACTTTCACTCCTCGCATAAGTCATTTTCACTTTATGCAATAGTTGTTTTTTGGGAGGATGGGATAATTGTTATAATAGTGTAAAATATTTCCAAATTATTTGGATTTTTTTTTTTTTTTTTTTTTGCTGTTCAAAATGTAGCAGGTACTTACATACTTTAAAGAATAATTTGAATTATTAATACACTATATATAATTTATATAATTTGTATTATTAACAAACTCACTTTTGTAAGTTTAAACATCAAGTAATATAATAAAAAGCCCTGTATTTTTGTGTTTGCCCATTTTTATGGTCTGTTGCCTGGGGTTCACTGGGTTGAAGCAGGACTTGCAAGTGCACTGGGTATACAAGTATGAATAGGTATTTGTTGAGCTCAGAGCCCTCCTGGAAACCCAAGAGAAGAGATCAGTGATTAGAACCCCCATACCTTAGCCAAGCAACCTCTGTTGAAATGCTTGATTCTTAACCATCGTTATCATTACAGGGAAGCGATGTTCTCTATGGACCTCAGTTTTCTCCTGTGTAAAATAGGGATAAAGTGCAGCCTTGACCCTGGCCTGGATTCTTAGGTCAAAAACAGTGACTATACCATCAGTGACCCACTGTGGGTGCCATGCACAGGCCACACCCCTGGGGCCTTCTGACCTGGGTGCTTGTGAATATAAACGGAGCTTTCCAGGTTCCTTTTATCTGTTGCAGTCCACACAGACTCCCCCACAGGGAAATGTGTCTTTAGGGCTCTTACATCTCTCTATGGATTCCCCAGTAGGGCATCTGTGGGTGACAATAAAAGTCCCCCAAACTCACTTCTCTACATGAAATTAGTGAAGGCACTAACCAAGGCCCTTTCGAAAATCAATAAAGGTAATGAAATTCAGTAATCACTTCCAGGGACTAGTATTCCAGGATTTGCTTTTTGATTATTTTCTTTTTAATTCAACTTTACCCTATGGATTAATAGCTGTTACTGTATTTCCGGGGAAATCAAGGATCAGGAATAGGAAGGAGTTTTTCCGTGTTCACACAGTGACAAATGTCAGGTTCAAGAGGCTGGATTCAAACGGATTTTGTGGGAATGCCAAACTTTCGGTGCTTTGAAAGAGTATGATGGCAGGAATTTGCTTTTTATCCAGTAATGGTTTATTTTGCATTGCTACCCAAGGGTTAAAAAGTAGGACTGCATGATGTGGTCCAAATTTGCAGCCTGGTGCTCTAATTTTTAGGGAGGTCAAAAGTTACCCTGAAGAGGAGGCATTTATTATGTCTCTGTGAATAATATGAATGTTATTGCCATGTTCACAGTATATAATAATTCCCAGCTATGTTGAAGTGACCTTTTCCTTAAGTGGTGCAAAGGACCCACATGCCTTGATGTGCAAAATTTTATAGGCTGGTGTCATTTCTTGTAAGACTCTGAGGGTTGGTTCGAACTACAGTTTGTATATAAACACTGTATTAATAGTGAGTGGAAGGTGCCTCTTCTGAAAGTTCATCCACAAACGTTCCAGGGACTATGGCTTGTGTGATCTGTGTGTAAAAACATTCTCAGGCCCCCATAACTGTTTCCTTTAGCTGAGATCATGGGCAGAGAAAATACTCTAATGCTTTGTGGACTTCTCCTAGCCTATCCAGGGTATTCACCTCAAGGCCATTGCTATACAGGCAAGAAAAAGCTAGAGTGAAAGATGATCCTGTAGTCAGTTCCAGGATGTGTCTCTTGTGACCCAGTCAGCCTCCCTGATGATTCGGATTGTCAATAGTCAGCACTGCAGGGGGGGGGGGGGGGGGCGGAAAGTCAGCACTGCTTGCTAAGATTTGCTGTCACTGAGGCAAGGCTGGCTTTCCCAGGACATGAGGAGAGAGATGGTAGAGTTCATGTAGGGTTGCCAACATATTTTTATAAGAAAAAAGGAATATCTAGGTGTTCATTTGGAACTTTTTAAAGCCTTATTTAGGTATATATAAAGGTGCACTTATTTAATGTGTACTGTTTGGTGAGCTTTGACATAGGATAAAGCTGTGAAACTGTCACACATGAGATGAACTTAACTGACACCCATATACGGCATGGAGCAAAAGTAGTTATACATTTATGAATATGCAAAACACTGAGTTTATTCTTGTATTATTATTTGTATTATTTAATTATTTTGCATACAAACAACTGTACACCTATTTTTGTCCCACCCGCTGTTTACCTCTTGCCTTTACAGTCTCCCTCCCTAGCCTTCTCTTCCCCCCAAGCAGCCATTGATTTCTCTTCCTTTACCATAGATTAGTTCTTGTTTTGTATAAGTTTAAAAAAGATTTTATTTATTTATTTATTTTTGGCAGGGGGGAAGGGAGGGAGAAAGGGAAGGAGAGAAATATCAAAGTGTGGATGCCTCATACGCACCCCCAACTGGGGGCCTAGCCCGCAACCCAGGCATGTGCCATGGCTGGGAACCAAACTGGTGATTCTTTGGTTTGCAGGCTGGTGCTCAGTCTACTGAGGCATACCAGCCAGGGCTGTTTTGTATTATTTTATAGCTATCATAAGTTGTATACACTAACAAATATGTGTTTCCTTCATGCTGCACGGTTATTTTGAGAGTCTACACTAATGCTTATGTGAATAGTTTTTGGGGTTTTTTTTATTGCTGAGTAGTATTGTGTTCTATGGATAACTACTTTTTTAATTCAGTGTTCTCTTTATGGTTTGGGTTATTTTCCAGTTTGGGGTATTACAAATAATGCTGCTATGACTGCATTCAGTATGTTTTTGATATGAGAAAAAAATAAAGAAATGGGGAACTGTGGTCTAAAATATTTGTTCCCATTTCCTTTCCTCCCACCCACAGCCAGGAAAACTCTAGTTCTGCAACCCCTCCATCACTACTGATGGTTAATGCTTTTTAATATTAGCCCTGGAAATCAGTGTAGTGCTAACTCGCTTTGGTTTTAATTCCATTTGTTTAAGAATTCATGATGGTGAGCATTTTTTATGCTTTTATTTATCCTGTCTTTATCTCCTTTGGTAAAATTTCTACTTAGAGTCTTTTGCCTATTTTCTTTTTATGGATCTGTTATTTTAACAAATGGGAACACAGTGAAGCAACAAAGACTTATGTTGGAATTTCACTCATTCCTCAATGACCTGAGTGTGTCCTGTGTTCTATGGAACAAGTGTTTTTGAATACCGGAAGGAAAATTTTTTCTCAATTTTTTATTTTATATAGAATTTAGACCACTTGTATCACACACTTTATAAAGTTACAACGTTATAACTTGTAACTTTAATGTGCTTGTGAACTTTTTTCACCCCTTTGTTTAAGTCTAAACATTCATTAGTACATCAAGTCAAATCTAGGTTTGTAATTTTTGTCAATTTCCCTGGTGTAAATACTCTTATCCTGGTCAATTTCAAACTGCCAAAATGATGTCACTGAGCATAGAGATGTTAATATATTCTACAGGCACACATTTAGATTTTATTTCCAGCATCATGATACAGTAGCAATAAGTAACCTCAAGAACATCTTGAACATCAAGAACATGCAGTGAGGGGTTATAGGGTACAGAGATTGAGCAAAAAGGAAAAAGGACTCATGGACATGGACAACAGTGTGGTGATTGTGGGCAAAAGGGGATGTGAGGGGAACAAATGGTAATGCATAAAAATACAACAAAAACATCATCGATAA